CCGCTATCCACTGCCCTGGGGAGGGAATCTGCCATCAAATCTGATCCAAACAAATACAATGAAGCACACACACATATTCAGCTGTATGTCCAAACTGTGTTTATCGTCACAAAGTCACAGTGATCCTATAGCCATGGGGACACACTGTCACAATCCATCCATCCATCCATCCATTTTCTGAAACCGCTTGTCCTATTCAGGGTTGCGGGGGGTCCGGTGGCTATGGGTACAAGGTGGGGAACAACCCAGGATGGGGCACCAACCCATCACAGGGCACACTCACAGACCAGTCACGCAGACATGCACAGTTTGATTTACCTCAGGATGTTTTTGGACTGTGAGGGAAATCGGAGTACCCAGAAGAATCCTCACGACGACATGAAGAGAACATGCAAACTCCACATACATAGAGCCATGGCAGAGACTCGAACCCAGGTCCCAGATGTGTGAGGCCAACCATACCATCCCCACTGTCACAATGTCCCAAAAACTTTCTTTGAAATGCGGACATGAGTTGAGTAGGCCCTGATAAATGCTTTCTCCTGAACTGAAATACACCTAAACATCGTGAAACGGATATACTTATAAGTGAGAAATGGTCTCCCTCTTATTTCACATTTTCATCTAATCACAGAACAAGTTCCAAAGCTTTGAAACGCTTAACGTAACTCCAGGGGACAGGTTCTCAAAACAAGCCAGATAAATGAGCAAGACATATGAGATATAAGGGTGTTTAATCAGTGCTGGAGACCCTCGCTTTTAATGGCTCACAAGTGGCTGTTGTCGTGGCAACAGGTTGTTTGAGACGCATCCTGAATGCAAAGACGTCTTCTTCCTGTTCCGAGACGTGGAGGACCTGGAACGGCTGAGGACTAGCAAGGAGCTGCGAGCTCATGGGCTCCGGTAGGTACCCTCATCTCCACCTGACCCCCTCTTCCTCCTAACTCCCTCACCTCCCTCCTTATTCAGATTATTGTCCGCTCCACTGCAGGGAGTAGGATTAAGTCATACAGGGTAGGATCAGGTGGATGTAGTGCTGGGAAATCTACCTTTCGCAGTCCACAGATCTCCACAGTCCAGTTCCAGCACATCAGTGCCTTTTATTTTGTCACACACGCAAACATTTCCAACCTGAAGCCAACAGATTGTTTTGTTGTGGATTGTTTTTGTTTTGCAAGGAAACATTATGGGATAAACACATTGAAACATGTTGGAAATGATTTTAATAATTGAGTACTGACCAGGAGCAAAATTGTTTTGTGGAATAACTACTTAGGAACATGTAGGCTCAACAGATTTATTACATCTGTGGACTTACTTTAAAGTGTAAATCCACCAAACTCAATTTTTTGCCCCATTTGCTTTAGTGGGGCACTAACCAAAATAATGCTGGCTTTGTTGTGGAGAGATTTCTCCGTTTTATCGCCTAACATCATAGGATGTGGTTGAATGGACTTCCCAAGGCACCAGTCACTCTAAAAGGTGGATCATTATGTTCCACAATAGGACAAGAGGCAGCTTCTCAAAACAGATGGCAAAATGGAGAGATTTTAGTGAGCTAAACGTATCGATCGGTGAAAGACAATTAGATCATGGTGTGGGTGTTGACTCTGGGGTCAGAAAAATTATAGTGATTTACAGAGCACATTAAGACTTCAAATTTCATGCAGGGCTTCTTGTGAAGCCGGCCATCTCTCTTTCTATTTTAAACTTGAATAAATACGAGATATGAAATACTTTATTGTGGGGTCCCTCACTATCCAACCCTACAGCCGCTCTTAATGGAGCTCCTCAAACCACCACACACACAGAGCCCTACCGCTCTCTAAGTCCGGACCACCGTCTATACCGGAACCACACACACGGGCATCCTGCACAGAAACCTGCCGTTGTTCCCCTGCCCAGTTCTGTAACTCCACCTTCCGCTACAGGGTGATGTCTTTCATTGAGAAGTGTGTGGCCAGACTGAACCAGCTGGATCGCCTGGAGCAGCTTGCCCTGGAACTGGGGAGAACCCACCACCGCTACAATGCTCCTCCGAAGTACTACGGGGTAGGACTCCTACTGCGGACGAGGAGGCTTCATTTAATCATGCAGAAACTGTGGGATGGGCCCCTTTCACAGCAAAGCTCCACAGTACAATAAAAACCCTCTTTTAACATAAGACCACACCACATTACCATAGCTTATGAAATCGACATTGAGGGTTGCCCTCACCCAAGCTGGTCGTCTGGGCTCTTTCAGTATGTGGGGGCGGAGTTTATCTGTGCCGTCCAGCCAATCCTGAAGGAGAAGTGGACCCCAGAGCTGGAGCATGCATGGCAGGTACTGATCATTTCTTATAGCTATTCTTTTGTTGTCTTTGTAGTAACCTTTTCAGAGATAAAAACAAACCAAGGTGCAATTCAATGACGACAACAAATATACATGTAACATATCCTTTAGAACATAAGAACATAAGAACTATACAAACGAGAGGAGGCCATTCAGCCCATCGAGCTCGCTTGGGGAGAACTTAACTAATAGCTCAGAGTTGTTAAAATCTTATCTAGCTCTGATTTAAAGGAACCCAAGGATTCAGCTTG